GACACACTTTGGAAATACACAAATATAAACACGTATACATGTACAGCATATAAACAAAAACTTAAATGTGCATCCATAAATACACATGTATACAGACAAATAGCCTATACATAAATACAGAAGTCTACAACAGCTGTTTTGCTGGGGGTGGGCTGTTTGGAGGGGTGGGGCAAGTTGGGGTCACATGTGTTCACACGTTCATTTTTAAGATTATTTTAATGCTATTAAGTATGCTTAGATGATTTTATGTAGTTTAGTTGAATTACTTCACTTTCATAATTTATACTGGGAATCAGCTGTCTGTCTGTCTGTCTATCTTTCTATCTATCTGTGTGTCTGTCTGTCTATGCTAGAACAATATGGTCACTCAGTTCATTTTTACCTTCCTTTTTTATTTAGTAACTTATATTTTAAATTCTAGTACATTATAGTAGTACACGTATAGGGCATATTTGACAATTTATACAAATGTTTATGAAAGGAAAAGTACTGAAAAGTTGCTTTCGTTGAATAATATCAAGTACAATAAATATACAATGTAGCAAAATTAATTCAAAATTAATTCCACTAAAATAATATAAAAAAGTTCACTTTAATTGCAGGCTTAATTGTTTGAGTAACACTCAAGTAGTACAAATGTGCAATCGTAAGTCAATTGCACTTTTTCAACCACATTTAATTGAATTACCAAGAAAGGAAATAAAGTTGAACCTCTGGAAACTGAGATGAGATTACGTAAATGAATGTGGCTGATTAAAATGGATTAAATTAAATATGTTATTATGATATAATAGGCTAATACAAACTATAATGTGACGCTCAATGTATAGCACATATAAATGTGAAGTACTACATTTTGGTCAATTCTGAATGCCCTCGAGGCTGAAAAAAATCCACTGAGCCTGTTGAGACCTATGGTTGAGACAGTTTAGGAACAGTTTCTTGCAAAGACACGGTAAAGCAGCGTCACCTACTGGCCACTTCAGTGATTCATTTACTACTTTTCTAATTGGCTGCATGGAATTCATGGAAATAATTTGTGAAGAGAATGAACAGAATTTATGGAGTGGAGGCAAACTGTGACGCAGAATATCTTTTTATTCTGGTTTGGCATTTTCGATCAAAGAAAGTCAAAGCAGACTGTATATTAACAGTTTTGTCTGACTGAATAGCTTAATTGCATTTCTATTAGTCTTGATAGTGGATCAAATAAAGCCCTCCATCATAGCAGTATACATTGAGGACATCTGATGTGTGTAGCAGCTGGGCTGGTTTCAATGAACAGCTTCTATAACGCTTATCATTAACACCTTTTGTGTTTATTGGGGCTCTTGATTAAAAGGGCTAAAGTACAGGACAGTGTTATTGTTGGTTTAATCCTTCTGATCCCTTTTCATATGCAATTAGAAAATGAGAAATACCACTTTCAGTCTAGATCATCTAATTAATTGATGTGCTAGAATCTGCAGCATGGAGAAATCAAAGAAAGTCAATTGCAACACCCCACCCTCCAAAACAACCGTCTATAGCTAGAAATAACAGTTTGGCTTAATGAGTCATTGAAAGTCTCAGGCCTAAGATCTTTTGTTATGATGGTGTGTATTCAAAACATTAAGCCCAATACAATTTTAACTGGACTGTCTCTTGCAATATTTTACAAGGACAGATAGTTTGGAATATACCACTGAAAATGTACAATACACAGAAATTAAGTATTATTAAATTAAATATAATTTAATAATATTTAATACTGACTGAGACCACAGTAAAAAAAAAAAAAAAAACCAAAAAAAAGTAAAATGAAGCTTGAAAAAAAGTTAAATTTTTCAAGAAAAAAATAACTTGAAAATTTATAACAATAAAAATATTCAATATATTGACATTAAATACATTGATTTTTATCTACATAATTATTTTTTATCTTTCTGTCTTTATTCATTTGATGACAAATCGCCACTATCTTAAACAAAGGTCAATTTGTTTAAGGTGCAGGTGAAAGATTTGACAGAGATACAATTGTGTAAACACAAATTGTGCAAAATAAATGTTACATTTTTTAACAAGTCTTTATGAGGTCCACAAATTCTTATTACTTTTTTTTTTAATGATGGCAGCTTTTAGGACAGCAAATAAATACATTTACATACATAAAAGCTCCATTTTTTCACAAAAATATATGATGCTTTAGAAATAATATATTAATAAAATCTAAATAAAATTAAAAATCATAAATAATGTAAAAATGCTTTGAGATAGACTAAATAACTACTAAATTTAGTTTGGTTTTGTTAGCAGTTTTAGATTAGGCACAAAAATGAATAAAATGTAAAGGTTTCAAAAATAATTTTATTTTAAGCTCTGTATGAATTTTTGGTCTTAAATTTATGTTAGAGAAAACGCATCTTATCTGTAGTGCTATTGACTTTATTTGGAATAATAAAAGCCATGTTGATTCATAAACATTGGATTATATTTGTCTTGCCCATCCTGACAAACAGCGTCAGATAATAACACGATTAGCATGAAGACGTGGCTGTGTAGCAAGTAAATTTGCTTAGCTGTCTGACGTGACGTGATCCGTCATCAGCCGTTCCTGTGCCGTCATTGTCTGACATCCCAGGACAACCTGCGGCCCCAATACACAATACACAGACTGCGGTAACTTTAGTCCCATGTTGGCAGGACAGAAGAGGTCTGAGCAGTCAGTAACAGATAACAGATAATCACCCCCTTGAGAAACTCCAATCCACAATCCACATCCCTGAACACACTCCTGGATTCACTGCCTCTGTTTGTGGAATAATGACAGCAGGGGTGGCCATTTCTCAATACACTTTCCTCTCTCCTCTGCCCTGCCAAATACACTGCTGCTTTTACCAAAGATGGTTACAGCTGGAAAGTAGAAGGGTCCGAACTGAAATATAGGCAGAAAAATGTAAATGAATGCAACAAATAAGTGAACCATGCACTAATTACATTTACAAAATTGTAAAAATTGTATTAGCTGCAGAATAAATAAATAAAAGTTTTCTTCACAAAAACATTCATTTATGCTTTAGAAATAATTTAACACAATTATTAAAAAGTAAATCTCTCTCTCTCTATGTGTGTGTGTGTGTGTATATATATATATATATATATATATTTGGAATAGATTAAACATTTCTATAAAAATATATATAAAATATATGTCAACATGCCCTATACTTATGAAGAAAAATCCACAAATTCTTATTACTTTTTTTTTTAATGATGGCAGCTTTTAGGACAGCAAATAAATACATTTACATACATAAAAGCTCCATTTTTTCACAAAAATATATGATGCTTTAGAAATAATATATTAATAAAATCTAAATAAAATTAAAAATCATAAATAATGTAAAAATGCTTTGAGATAGACTAAATAACTACTAAATTTAGTTTGGTTTTGTTAGCAGTTTTAGATTAGGCACAAAAATGAATAAAATGTAAAGGTTTCAAAAATAATTTTATTTTAAGCTCTGTATGAATTTTTGGTCTTAAATTTATGTTAGAGAAAACGCATCTTATCTGTAGTGCTATTGACTTTATTTGGAATAATAAAAGCCATGTTGATTCATAAACATTGGATTATATTTGTCTTGCCCATCCTGACAAACAGCGTCAGATAATAACACGATTAGCATGAAGACGTGGCTGTGTAGCAAGTAAATTTGCTTAGCTGTCTGACGTGACGTGATCCGTCATCAGCCGTTCCTGTGCCGTCATTGTCTGACATCCCAGGACAACCTGCGGCCCCAATACACAATACACAGACTGCGGTAACTTTAGTCCCATGTTGGCAGGACAGAAGAGGTCTGAGCAGTCCTGCAATAGTAACAGATAATCACCCCCTTGAGAAACTCCAATCCACAATCCACATCCCTGAACACACTCCTGGATTCACTGCCTCTGTTTGTGGAATAATGACAGCAGGGGTTGCCATTTCTCAATACACTTTCCTCTCTCCTCTGCCCTGCCAAATACACTGCTGCTTTTACCAAAGATGGTTACAGCTGGAAAGTAGAAGGGTCCGAACTGAAATATAGGCAGAAAAATGTAAATGAATGCAACAAATAAGTGAACCATGCACTAATTACATTTACAAAATTGTAAAAATTGTATTAGCTGCAGAATAAATAAATAAAAGTTTTCTTCACAAAAACATTCATTTATGCTTTAGAAATAATTTAACACAATTATTAAAAAGTAAATCTCTCTCTCTCTATGTGTGTGTGTGTGTGTATATATATATATATATATATATATTTGGAATAGATTAAAAATTTCTATAAAAATATATATAAAATATATGTCAACATGCCCTATACTTATGAAGAAAAATGTTCTTCACAAAAATACATTCATTTATGCTGTAGAAATAATAAATTAATAAAATTGAAAAAGATAATAAATAATACAAAAAATGCTTTGAAATAGATTAAACTGATAAATAAATGAATATACATGAATGGAGTGTAAATACATAAAGTGAATATATATATATATATATATATATATATATATGTAAATATGCCCTGAACATACTTAATATGAAAAATGCTCTTCACAAAAACACATTCATTCATTCATGCTTTAGAAATAATAAATTATTACAATATAAAAAACAACTATAAATCACGTAAAAATTCTTTGGAATTAAAACTGATTTTGAAATTAAAACTGATATATAAATGTATATATACATAGTGTAAATACAATATATAGATAGATAGATAGATATAATCATTTATATACTTTTTTTTTAAATATTTAAAAAATATATAGATACAAATTATATAATGAACATAGGCTACTTAGGATACATTTGAAAAACCAAAAGTCATGAGTAACAATAGGTGGTCTAAATGGGGCATGGCTTTGAAGGGTATCTTTTTAGGTTGTCTCCCCTTTGTTAGAGGTGTGAAGAGCCAGACGGGGTGGGGGCAACTGTATATAAACCCTGAGAGACTCAGAGAGTCAGTCATTCAATCAGGAGAGCGACACTGGCATCACTACATCAAGCATGGCTCTGCTCATCCAGCTGCTCATTTGCACCACAGTGATCTCATTCACTCAGGGATTCAACCATGAGGATATGAAGCAGGCGATGCTCCAAAAACTCGGACTAACCGAACTCCCCAGGATTCAGAAGCGAGATTTGGAAAATCTACTCATCCCAGCTCACATCAAGAACAAATATCTGTCCATGCTGAAACTCCATCACAAGCGCAGGAGGAGATCCCTGCCAAGCCTGGCGGGAATTCTTAGAGGCATCCATGGAAATGCAGGTGGGTTACATTTGCAAAATGAAATTGAAATGTTAATAAAAAAAAAATTAAAAAAAATCTATTTTTTTATATTCATGTATTTTGTATCATGAACTAACACAAACAATAATTAAAGCAACAAATAACTGGGCCATACACTAATTACAAATACAACTGTAAATAGTTACAAAATGTAAAAGATTATATTAGTTGCATAATAAATTAATAAAAGCTACATTTTCTTACATTTATGCTTTAGAAATAATAAAATAAAAATGCAATCGTGAATAATGTAAAAATCTTTTAAATAGATTAAACCGATAAATAAATGCATAAATACATAAAGTACATTTGCAAAATGAAATTGAACTGTAAAAAACGGTATATATTTGTACATAATATTCTATATTTTAATATTAGATTATGTCCCAGACAGCAACATAGTGTTGGCCCAGATCCGGCCCACATCTGGCCCATGTGAAATCCATGCGGGCCAGATGTGGGCCGGATCTGGGCCGAAACTGTCTGCTGTCTGGGGTATTTGGTATCATGAATTAACAAAGAGCAATAATAAATGCAACAAATAACTGGACCATACACTAATTACATTTACAAATTATTTATAGAATTAATTTATTTTGACTGAAGTTAATGTATAAATATATAATTGTTGCGACATTAATGTATACAGCTTTTAATATAAAAAATGTGTTACTATGTCAAAATTAACCAAAATTAATAATTGCTGTAAAAGTATTCATTGAGTTCATATTAACTATTGTAACTAATGAACCTTGTTGCAATATTCTACTGATAAAAAGTATGTTTAATTAATTTCTTACTTTATACCTTAAAAATGTTTTCAAAGTTATGATTTTTAACATCATAGCAATTTTTTTGGACTATTATGAATTGACTTACTGATCGAGAATATCAAGTAGAAATTGTTATGCCAAATTAAATATAAAAAATGTTGCCAAAACATTAAGATGAAAACATTTTTACAGTGCATCTGTCATAAACTGTCATAATCTAATGTATTCTGTTTTTCACAGATATAACAGGTGAAATTAAGTACTCTGACACAACCCGTCAGCGTCTTGTGTTCGACATGGAGGCCAGACTGCAAGAAAACACTGAAGTCACTATGGCCGAACTGAAACTTTTCCAAACAGCTGTGCAGAATCCATCTAAACCTGAGCGAAGGCACCACAGACCCATTAACAACGCCAGAGTGAGCATCTACTGGGTGGAAGTGCTGGGAAACAGCTCTAACAGAACATCACTCATAGACTCAAGGTGTGCCAGATGTCCAAACATAATAAAACATAAAGAAATGCTCAAATAATAACAGTCTTTAATTTTATAATGCACGAATGGGAACTCATTTGTTCACATTTGCCATTTTAATAGACTGGTTCCCATCCATGAGTCTGGCTGGAGGAGCTTTGACGTGACTCAGGCTGTTCATTACTGGTCTAAATCCCAAAAGAAAACACCTCTGCATCTGGAGGTGTGGACTGAAGGAGAGAGACCTGGTAGCTACGCGGCTGAGATGGCCAAAAGAGTTCGCTTTGCCACACAGGACCCGAAAGAAAACACCCTGGAAAAGGATGTGGGTGCACCTGAACTTGTGTTTTACACCCTAAACCTGGATGAATATGGGTGAGTACTGTAATTAAACTGCAGCTTATTTACTTTGCATTGAACTTTACACCTTTCAATCATATGTTCGTTAACTAAAATCCTTAATTTCCATGTCAACAGATCTCAGGGGAACTGTAACTCCAGCCCAAACAGCAGCAAGTGTTGCCGGGAAGAGCATTTCATCAATTTCCGTGAGCTGACCTGGACTCAGTACTGGATCATTGAGCCGGCCGGGTACCAGGCCTTCATATGTGCCGGAGGATGCAAGCAGCCCAAGCGTGGTTACTATGGATACGGGCAGAGGACCTGTGCAGTGATGGAGAGCGCGCCGCTGCCCATGATGTACCTGGTGAAAAAGGGAGATTACACTGAAATCGAGGTGGCAGAGTTCCCCAATATGATTGTTGAGAAGTGTGGCTGCTCAATGGACAAAATCCCTCCAGTCTAAGACTGTCTCATGGTTTGCTCTCAGATGAGAGGTGATGATGTTTTAATTCAATATCTCAGAGATACTGAACTGAGATTCACATGTTACAAATCCCCACTGAGCACTTGAAAATCAAATTATTTATGAATTATTTATGTAATGTAAGCATCAGAAATAGCCTGTTGAGTGATGTGATTTTTGAAAAATAAAAGAAGTAATTTTATATCCATGAGTCATGTTTTCATTCTTTTTTTATTATTATTTTAACATGATTCACATAGTCATATTTTTTGTTTTGAGGCCTATATACATTAAATGAAATCATTTTTAGTTTATGTTTAGAAAAAACACCTACTCAAAAAAAGAAACATTAAAAATAAATATAAAATCCATGATATATATTGAAATATATATACAGACAGAAGCATGTGACAGAGACATCTAGTTATTTCAATGAGCGTGTGTCTCTGGTGAAGAAATGAACAAACTGCGCTGGATTCAAACACTCATTTGACCTTGAAATATCAAACCATCCTGTCACTAATTCTGGAGACAAAACATGTTACAACTTCACCTGGCATTAGATTTATACCAGCAACATTCCCACCTTAACATAATTTAACATAAATGTACCATTTCATTTGATTACTGCCCATAAAACCAACTTTCCTCAGACTGTAACATAATAACCTCAATATATAAACAGAAATATACACATATACAGGTATACAGATAGATAGATAGATAGATAGATAGATAGTGAAAATGAAAATTACCCCATGTTTTACTCACCCTCAAGCCATCCTAGGTGTATATGACTTTATTCTTTCAGACGAATACAATCAGAGTTATATTAAAAAATGTCTTGGCTCTTCCAAGCTTTATAATGGGATTTTGAAGCAAAATAAAGTGCATCCATCCATCATTAAAAGTAATCCACATGGCTTCTGGGGGTTAATAAAGGCCTTCTGACGTTATGATGTAAGATGTGAAGTGACTAACGTGGAAGCGCAGAGGAGAGAGCAAAACAAAACACCGGTCACGAATTAAAAGTACAAAATGAGGATTTGTAAAGAAAAATGTTGAAGGTTTTTGATATAAGCCAAAAGGAGACTGGTTTTCCTTTGCTGTAAACAAAACTTGGTTCTCGCGAGACTAGCATATTCTCACCGGAGCTTTCGCTACACCTATGTCATCCACTGGAACACCACTCTCTCATGAAAGAGCATTTAGTTAGCGGAAGCTAGAGATTACGGTTTATAAAGTTTTAAATATAAATATTATTCATACACAAAAGCATCAATTCAATTCAGAAGGCCTATATTGACCCCCCGGAGCCATGTGGAGCACTTTTTTATGATGGATGGATGCACTTTATTTTCAAAATCTCAACACCCATTCACTGCCATTATAAAACTTGGAAGAGCAAGGACATTTTTTTATTTGACTCCAATTGTACTCGTCTGAAAGAAGAAAGGCTTAAGAGTGAGAAAATCATGGGGTAATTTTCATTTCTGGGTGAACTATCCCTTTAACAACATTATGAAAATATTCTCATAAAGATTTATAACATTTTGTAGAGGTAAATAAAAACCATTTAAACATAAACATTTCTAATAAATATATTTAAGAATTTGGAAGCAACCAGAAAAAAATGCATAATTTGAGGATAAAATATCAGCCCATAATAATATTGAGCTCAAGACTCAAGCTGATCATTGAATATATTTCAGCTCTACATCTATGTGAGATTGACTCCCAGAAATACTAAATCTGACTTGAGTTTTCTCGTGTGCACATGTTCAACTCTACTGAACAATCGGTCTGAATGTGATTGTGAGAACGAGTGATCAGGAAGAGACATCAATCTTCCACACGGATTGTAAGATGAGCTCCACAGCCTTAAACATTCGTAATGAAGGTATGTTTAGAAGATGAGCTCTGACTGAAACCTCAGTTACCATAGTAACAGAGCAAGCAGTTGCTGAGAACTGTTTCCTGTGAGCAAGAAACTACATCTTCCTCCAGGTGGCGCTCAGAGATTCAAAAAGACAAAACTCCTGTTGAGCCTCGTTTAAATGTCTTTATAAAAACTGTGGAGCGTCTCATTTAGACCAAAGTCAACATGTGTTTCTCCATATAGAAATAAAGATTAGAATAGAGAAAGAGTTTACAGCTGTGTGAGGTAAAGACTCTCATCTGTGTGTGTCTGACCTCTCACAGATTCTCACAGGAAGCGGTTTAATCTCACAAAGAGACACAGAACTACCAGAATAACAAACCCTGGATCCAGCGTAGAGGGGTTCAGTGAATGTGGTGTTGAATGTGTGTAAGTGTGTGAGTGTGTGTGAATAAGAGACGCTGTAGAAGGACAGACGGCCAACCTACCAGTCCAGATACACTCCTACTCTGTTAGAGCAACGTGAAATATAGGGAGGTATGACTGTTTTCTCATTATTGTGAATGAAAATGAATTTGTAATTATTCCAGATCAGACTTTTCATTGAGCCCAAACCTACAGTCATCATTCTTTCCTTTCCTGCTGCTTCCTTTGCATGTCACTGATATATCAGGCTTCCCATTCCATTCAGCCTCCCAGTAACAGCGTCCAGTCAGACGCTCTCTACACAGAACCTGAGGAAATCTCTCAAATCTCTCTGGATGATCAGGATACGGCTGCTTCTTTTTCACGTTTCACCTTTCTGTTCCTCTCAGACAAAGAGAGACATGTGTTTGCTGTATTTAAATCCAGTGTGAGATTGCAGATATCTGAACACAAGAAGAGAGATTATAACATTACCAACACAAAAAACAACAATAATCAAAGAATGTGTGTGTGTGTGAGAGAGAGAGAGACAGACAGAGTTACATTTCTGTGGTCCTGCTATAATCCTGAACTCTCCTCCATGATCCACACTTTAAAAAACAAAACATGTCTCATTTTGAATGATAATCAAAATTTTACCAAAAAATGAAGAAAAATTATATATATATATATATATATATATATAGTGGGAATTTTATTGAATATGAATTTTTGAACTACTTTTTTTACTGCGAGTAAGCGATGGAGAGGAGGAGCACTAAAATAAATCCGTTCCCCTATTCAATATTCCGTTTCAGTTGGAAATATGTCATTATACTGAAATAAAGTCGACAGCAACTTCCAGTTAACACAGACTTTAAAGCAATAAAGAACGGTGGGTGAGTGAGAAAATAAAAAGAGTTCATAAAAGTGCAATAAAAAGCCAACTGAATTTAGAACACACACTGAAAATAAGATGTGTAACATACTGTGCATTAGGTCTTAAAATGACAGCAGCCTAATACCAGCTGCAGTTTATTTTTATTTTCTGTTTAATGACTTTACTAAATTTTGGTGCGTTCCCACCGCCGCCGTCGAGGGTGTCAAAGTGGCCGGAAAAAACGGTGCAAAACGTTTTTTAAACGGAAACGGGAAACATGTAGTTCAAACCGGAAACCGTAGCAAAACGGTGCACACCGGTTTGAGCTTGAACTTGCCCCAGGTCAACTTTATGGTAATGAGCTATGACGCGGTTCGGCGGCAACCAATCGTAACGTAGAAGTCCACCGCTTGAGAGGATTCCAGAGAAGGCAGTCCTGTAAACTTTGGTTCCGACCACATTACTTCCCAAGCAAAATGGAGGAGAGGTTGATTATTGCTGTGGCGGGTTTCCCAATAATCTATGACGGGTCCCTGTTTGCGTACAGGGACATAAATTTAAAAAAATGATGCATGGACCAAGGTGTCTGAGATTGTTGGTATTCCTGGTGAGTTGCTGATTTGCATTAATGATATAATAAATAATAGTATAATAGTCCCAGTTCACTTTTAAACCTTTAAATCAATTTTCCTGATTACACTTACATTAAGTAATGTTTATACCTGATTATACTTAAGTAACATTTTCATAATGCGGGACTTTTACTTGTATTTTTACAGTGTGGTATTAGTGCTTTATACATTATTAGGTAAAGGATCTTAATACTTCGTCCCCAACAATCTTTAATGAGGTTAACTTATCACATTACCCTCCTTGTTGTCAGTCTGCACAAGATCAACAAGCTTGTTTGCTTTGCGTCCCCTTTAAATACTAGATAAGCATTCGATCTACGTCAGAGCGTCAGGGCGTTGTTGGCAGGGCGGCCAGAGCGATTTTTGACGCTCTCGACGGCGGCGGCGTGAACGCAGTTTAGTTCTTGATTGATGTGGCAACCGTTACCACGGGAGGCGGGGCTAATCTTGTTGTTGTTGTTGTTGCTGTTGGAAACGGTCGCGCCAGCAATGGCTGCTCACTGAAATTATCCTCCACTGCAGACATGATTTGACTTCTTCGCCGCATTTACTGCATATAATGTACGTTTATTTAGCAGAAACTGTACATTGAACAGAAGATATAAATTCGAAAAAGAGTTTGATTCGCTTCATTTTCGCGCGAGACACAATACTGTGCGCCAGCAGTGATTTGTTTGTAATGTTTTCAGCTAGCGTGTGATGTTTAGCAAAGCTACAATATCATCAATCACTGAGCCAAACATACTCATTGCGGCATTTTTGTTATTTTCATTATCGAATTAATAATCATATGAAAGCAGAGTTGCAATGTATTGTCATTTGCACTTATATATTGTTAGTTTTGACTGCTTTTATTGTCCTCATTTGTAAGTCGCTTTGGAAAAAAACGTCTGCTAAATGACTAAATGTAAATCGGAAATAGGATAGCTGGATTTTAGAGGTGTTTTTGTGTTGGCGGTAAAGTTAAATATTACATAATCTGCTTAACTACAATAGTAGTTCCAGTAAGAATAACTAAACTATTTCTAGGTGATTGTACCTAAATAAGCGAATAAAGACTGTCTAAAGGTTGCATTGGACTTAGAAACAGCAGTTATTCTTTAATGCCATTGTAATGTATGATATCAGTTTTAGGATTGTTGTTTCCAGAATGAATTTGTCCACAGTTCATCAGAATGCCTGCAGGTGAGTAAAGATCACTCAT